AGGGAAAAGTTGTTCAATACATTTAGGTTATCTAAATTCTATCTTATGATATTTTTTCTTATTACTGATTCTAAGCAAGATTTAATTATGAGTATACGAAATAAATGAAATATGAGAAAGATAAAGAGAGCATTCAGAAATTATTCTAGATCTTATTTTGAGAGTATAGTAGATGTTTAAAAAAATATATAGGTATGATCGTTTATAATCAACCATGTTGGTTTTAATCGTAATGATCTGGTTATAATTTTGCAATGTATATATTTATTCTTATTTTTTACATTTTTTACAAATATAAATATATCGTAGAATCTAAATTTATTTCATATAAGTATGACAATTATTATAATATAAAGACTAAATGTAATCAATAATCAATAATATAATCAATATAAGATAATATTAAAAATAATAAGGTTGGTAAAATAACATTAATAAGATTAATGTTAATATAAACATAATAACTCTAAATGAGTTTAATAGTTAACAAAATGCTAATTTTTCGCTATGATGCACTATGCAGGCTGGAACTCTATTAATTTGTAACAAAGTTATTGATTTATTTAATAGAAATTATTATATAGGATAAAACGCAATTCGTAAAATATTGAAAACTGTATAAAATAGAAATAAAAAATTGATTAACATTACAATCCTTGATTCGTTATAATTTTTCATTAAATTCTTTCTGATTTTTTATTTATATAATTTATCATCTTTGTCCATAAAATAATTTATATGAAAAGATGAGAATCATCTTACATAACTAGTTTGAAATCCGATATGTAATCGAAAATGAAAAAGGGTTAATGTTAAATGAATTTGAATGAAATTTCTCATAATTTACACATTCTAATGTTGCTATGCTTACTTTTCAGGGCCCATAAAGAAAATTTCGCGAGTTCCTGGTGAAAAATGTCTGCATGCCTTTTGCATTCTGGACTTACTCGTCCAACTCCAGGATCGAATGCTGTAAGGATCTGCAACAATCTCCTTGCTTCTCGATCAATTTCCTCGGAAAAATCATCTAAAAAGCAAATGTAAGTGCTTAATTATATGCATATTTCAAATATCTGTTTTAGCAGTAAATCTACCACGAACAGTGAAATAACCGATGGATGAAAGAATTAAAGGAGGAAAATCTTTAAAAATTAAATAGAAGGAGATATTGAAGAATTAATTACACGTATGCATCAAAAGAAAAAGCGATGACGTTGTATGCAGAATTTGTTATTAGAAGTTTAAAAAAGTCATTGTAGTCGTGGTAGGTTTAATGTTGAAGGATATTTGTTATAATTAATTATTTTTAAAGGATATCTGTTCTATTTTTTAAGAGATAGCTATCCTATTTATATTTTAAAGAATATCTGTTTTATAATTTAAAGGATCTCTCTTATATTTTAAGGGGAATGTATTGCATAATTTAATGTATTTATTCTGTAATTTAAGGGATGTCCATCCTACATTTTAAGGGTTAGTTATTATGTGTTTTAAGGGATAGCTATTCTATATTTTAAAACATATTTGTTCTATGCTTTAAGAGATATATATTCTGCAAAAGAAGATATAATCGATAATTGTGCTACACTTTCATCTAAAGAAATCGAAACTAACATATAACTGCTATGAGTGGATAATTTTCAAAAATAGTATAGTGTTAACTCAGCGAAATTCGATTAAAGTTTGTTACAAATGAACGTGCAAAATTTTGAATTGGCAGTTTGAATTGCCTTTAATTCAGAAAATTCTAAAAATATACATTTTCGAATGTCTACGTAGTACGGTTCTTTTAAAGAATGTCTTTCCAATTACTAATTCTATCGAGGGGATCGTTTCCAACAGGTTTAAACCGTTTCTGTGATCTCGAGTGACGGAAGAATTTTATTGGGATGAATAATCAGAATACGAAATATCGAGTTTCTTCAAGGAAAGGATATTCACGTCTTCTCTTGATATCGTCGATTCCATTTTTCGACATTCTTTTTACTTCCTTTAGTAACGAAAAATCACCAATTTCATAAATCAACATTGAACTGTCCTAACATTTAGTTAATCTTCGCTAAATGCTAAAAAGGTAGTCTTTAGCAACCTTTGCGGTATTTTTTCCAAGTTTACAGTTATACAAAAGGTAATATTAGTTGAATATTCATGATGAACCTTATGATAATGAGATTCCAATGTTTCGCTCATACGTATATCTTCTAACTATTCGATGCACGTTTCTTTTCCTTTAATGTGTTCGATAATAACTGTCAGCAGCATAGAATTTAATGGATGGGGTTGCTATGTCAAATTCGAAGCCAAAATATTTCATATCATCAATCGAAACCATACCGAAATCATTCCGTACCATAATGCGAAAGTTTATTAAATTCTGTTTACGTCTATATCATTACTATGAAAATTTTAGTCACAGATACTTTGTATTGCAATATATGATGTACAATAAAATCGCATATTTCGATTGAAAAGAAAGTATTCCTCCCTGAAGACGATGTAAACTAGAGCAATAGAAGTCCAAGTTCAATCGAGGGATTTTCAACTTTCACCTGTGGAATCAAGATCGACGCAAGGTTGATTTAAGAAAGACTTTCACTCTCGTTCGTTTGTCACGAGGGTTTAGGTGTATCCCAATGAGGTAACACTCGTGTACGTGCCTTGAGTGCAACCGAAGGTTTCAACGTAAGAGTAGCCTATACCGACATCGGTGGTCCTGACATTGATGAGTGGCTACCCAGGTTGAAATGCTTTTCTATGAACACGATCTTTTTCTGCAATCTCGGTAGTTATGCTACTGATAGTAATCTGACATGACATTTTGAGATTTTCAAAAAGGTCAAAGTACTATTAACGACATTTCGTATAGTTATACTAGATCTACAAGTAGATATACATACGTAAGTACTTAGATCTGCTTAGGTTTCTTTCTTTCTTTCTTTTGTAATTTTCCAAGATTTCATGAGAATATTAATATTAGAATTTCTAATGGGCAGCTAGGTTTGAAATTGTTATATTTTAATAGTATTTCATTGTACACATGTAAGTACAATTTATAAAAGACATAATACATAGTTTATAATGTACTATGTGTTCAAATATTATAAATCTTTATGTAAGTTGCAATTTTTTGAGGATTTGGAATTTTAGGGTTAAGGAAATATTAATTCTTTTTTTATTCTGAAGTTAATGTCTAAATTTAAGACTTCTAGTTCATATTCTACAATGCTTGTTTCGTTTTAATAATAATTTTTCAGGTCAGTATCTATGTATTGTACTTCCGGTGTTTTTATAGCTCAAGGGGGTTGTAATTACAATATTTATTGTAATTAAATATTTGCTAATCCTAATGTAGAATTTAGTATGATCATTATTGCCAAATAATTTTTTAATATACTCATTTAGCGTTTCATTCTATGTGTGTCCTCCATTTTATTCTTAATATTTTAAAAAGCTGATTTTAAACATTTAATATCCCGTTTTGAGGTAAATTTAATAATTCCATAAAACAGCTATATATCATTAAGAACAGGATACAGTTTGTTGCAAGACAATTATTTTACAAGTTTTTTTACAAGTTTGTTTCCTTAATTTCATACAAAATGTTTGCCAAAAGGAAATTTTTTTCGTAGTTCTGAGTACTTCCTGAGAATTCAAAGTAGTTAACGTCATCGATTAATTTTTGTCACACAGTCGATTATTATTAACTACACTAAAGAAGAAAAAACATGCGTGGAATAGTAAAAAAGATATATATATCTCATTATCAGCCGTCATAAATATTCAACTTATATTATTTTTTTATGAGTGTACATTTGGAAAAGTCTTGCAAAGGTTGCTGAGGACATAAATTTAGCATTTAACGAAGGTTACCTGAATGTTGAGATAGTTCAATGCCGATTCGTGAAACTCAAGATTGGTGATCTTTCGTTACTTATTCAATTTGACTTCTCAGTTCTAGAAAAAATATATTGTGCATAAATATAGGAAGAATAGATGAAATTTATAAAAGGACAATAGGGAACAGATGGAGACAACTGTTGCACAATAATGTAAGATCTTGTGCGTCGAGAATAATCGCAATAAGGATTTGGAAGATTAGAACATACACTCGTACATGAAAGTATTTGAAAGTTTACATGTGCTGTTTTTAAAAAGTAATATATGCGTATCACTTTGAAATATTTGTATCGATAATGACGTATATAGCACGAAGAAAGTCTTAAATTATATGAGTAAAATTAGAAAATAATTCAATGATAGTATTGTATTTGAGGTATATTTATTATAAATATGTAGTATCAGTGAATCATATAAATATTGCATAAGTAACGTGTAATAATAGTGAAAAGTACAATTAAACAATAGGACTTTTCATTATGACGTTGATTTATACTGTTTATGATAGATTTAAGACGATTTGCCATTTAACTCACTAGCGCCACCACGGTCAATATCACCGATAAATGTAATATGAATATTGTACATATCGTTGAATTGTTTTCTAATTTTATTGATTTTGCTGATTATTATTATTGAATTATGCCTACAATTTTGTAAACTCGTAGCTACTTTCCTTTGGGTAGATTTTCATGTTTTTAGTCATCTAGACAACTTTAATAACGAATCAATTGCTTCGAAACCTAAAATTTCCTTAGATATAGTTTTAGAAATTTTCGGATTTTAAAAGTAGCAGTTATATAATATAATTAATCATATAGAAACCATTTTACATGATTAAAATCTTCTCCGCAGTTAATAATAGTCTAAATCCATTAATTTAATATATGCATGCATATGCAAAAAAGTACAATTCAAACTGTAGAAGCCAATGAACTGAAGCTAATAAATTTCTTAATAGCTTGTACATTAGATCGAACGATATTGAGTTTGCAAACTGATTTCAACACAGATTCATAACGAACAGAGCACGCTAATTTTAATACGATGGAAATGAAAACAGTTGGAGTAATAGGTATGAAATCATGTGTATAATTACTCGAATATAATACACGTCGTATGATTATTAAGTAGTGACAACTATGAATATTAAAAGGTTCTGTTGCAACTAAAACTGGAGCAACTAATTGTAAGTAGGCATATTCCTAATTACGTCTGCGAAATTTATTCCGATTTTTAAATTCCTCAATGTCGAAGTTTATGACAGCCTGTCAATTATTTTTTATTACTTCGAACTTATTGTTATTACCTTAATTATCTCTATTGGTTACGATATTGTAGTCAGTAGAATTAACTGCACATGATTAACAAAATAATTGTGTAGACAGTTAATATGTACTATATATCTAACCCTTCACCAGCAAAACCTCTAATTAATAGTAATATGCTAATCGATCGTCTAGTCGAACTCCATACCAGATTCCTTTTCCCAAACATTCCTAATATTTCACATTCATGTTCTTATCTTTTCCTGTTTCCACAAGCGTTTATGCAAAATATTGCGTGAAATGCGTTTATATTGAACTAATGTCCGTTAAATCACCTGTCAACCTACCAACTTGAAACTAGCGAGTTCATTATTAAACCATACCTGATAGCTGTGAAGGCACGAATTTCTTAGACTCTTTTATATACATTGTAGCATGCAAATAAACTTTCAGTGAAAGTCATAGACGTTTTCGTAACGGACCGCTAATGTCCATTCGAAGTGCAAATGTAACCGCAATAGAGGATGAACTCAATATCCGCCATTTTGTCGTAACGAAACCGCGGGCATTGCAACAATGGCCGGCGAACTGGCAATAGGACCGGATATATCACGTCTGCGACTGTTTGTTTCGAAATAATGTGTCTATCATTTATCCTTGGTCGATTCTAAATGGCGTTGTTTCGTCGGCTAGGCAAGTCGTCTATGACAATATTTCGATATCACGGTATTGTTTCGTCAACTTAACCTCACTAAGCAAATCGTCTGCGACAGTATTTTAACCAATTTGCATCATTGACACATATATACGCGCGTTTATGCTATAATTCTTAATTCCTTCCTCCATTACAGAGCACGGATTT